CTGGATAGTGTATGGGCAGAGTAGGGATTTTTCTGAGACACCATCTTATACCAGTCCAGGACTTACACGTTATGTGCGACAAGAAGTTGGAAGAGTCACTAATAATGACACAGACACAAGCGATGACTCGGATTAGGTTTTGACTAATAATGACAAAGTTGTGGAAAAAAGTGTTTTAAGGATGAAGGTTAATGGTCCGAACTTTTTTGTAAAAAGTGTAAATATTTTTTTAGATGTACAAAGTCTTTTTGCTTAAATAAAGATGTGGGCCGAGTAAGGAATGTCCTAAAATGCCAACCTATAGCGTGGGTAGGGACTTATCTTGAGACGCCATAGTTTTTCAAGTTCAATTTGTGCATTTAGTCTTCTTTCAATTTTCATAGATAAATGTGTATGTAATTAAATTTGATTTTTATTTGAGTTTAAATATAAAAAAAAACCGCATTTCCTTGAAAAATGGTATTTTCTCTATGCTTAAATGTCAAATGTACATTGGTATTTGTTATTCTTAACGTACAGAATGACTAGACTCAAAAATAGAATTGATATATAACCGACATTCTTTGAAAACCTGACATTACCAGTGAAGATAACGAACAATACCATGGTAAGTTTAGAGTCTTGCGATGCTTTCTGAGAGACAATCAACATTTACTCAAGTAAGCTCTTTCACTTTCAATTTTTGAATAATTTCATTAAACTTGCTTTGATTAATGCAACTAAAGTGATCTATTAACATATCCCATAGGGAACCTTTGCATGTGACACATACATGGGCACACACTTGAGAGAGAATTTTAGGCCATCTTTGATTTGATTTTGAGCCTTAGTCATTGCTTCTACGAAATTATATCCCTAGTTAGCCATGTTTAAGCCTTCAATGAATGATTTCTTCTTCAAGAAACCCATATGATAACCAAGCCACATGAGAATATACTTGACATACCTTGCTATCTAATTTTCTTGCACCATCTCATAAATCAGTATGATATAAAAAAGCAAGAGAAATAGAAAATACAATAGTGGCTACTTTTCAATGAAAGAAAAGTTGGTAGGAACAACCAAGAAAAAAAAAAGAAACAGAAAAATAGGGAATTGCCAAGAAAATGAAAAATGAGAAAAATGAAAGAAAGAAATACCATTTGTAGGGAAAAGATCGAAAAGTAAGAAAGAGGTGTGCTACACTACATTAAAAAGGGGATATCTTTTGAATACCATTGATGTCATTTCGTTAGCCACTGACCTCTGGCCATATTACAACCTATAAAAGCCCTAATTGATCTTAAGTTTGATGCATGCGTGTGTTGTCGATCGAAAAACTGGGGTATGTTAAATAGTATTTTTTTAATTGCATTGATATTCTTCCATGAGATTATGTCAAGAACATGATTAGTCTACTTTTTTAAGATTTTCACTCCTTTTCTAATTGTGCATATGATTTTTTGATTAGCCGTCCTCTGATCACATGCCCATTGAGAGACAAGGCACTATGATCGGAGGGAATTTTTGCTGAGGGAATTTCTAAAAGAGGTTAGTGAAATCAAAGCTATCCATAGAGGGTGGTACAATGGAATGTTTGTTATGTAACAATTCTTATTTCTAAAAATACCATTCCTACTACACAGGGAATTCCAAATGCCAATGTGACTAATGCTAATTTTTGTATAGAATAAATACCTATGAAAGAGGAGCTTGCGGGATGTAAGCCGAAATTGAGGGTTGGGTATCCCAATGACCATGATGCTAATTTACTTTAACCAGCAATCCCACATATACATCTGTTTGACTGGAGTTTGTAGGTAGCTCACTAAAAACCTTCATGAGACAAAACTCGTCCACTAGGGATCACCTAGGGGTTTAATAACTTGTTGAATATGCTAAATGCAATCATGTTATCTATGAAAGTGATTTTATTTTGTTCTGTTGTTATTTATTACTAGGGACTAGTAATGTTTAGGTTGAGGGTGTGATTAACCCTAATTAATGCACAATTTAATTAAGTTAATAGGTCAATTGTGTTAGTTAAACAAAGTTAAACTAGTCAAAATAAATCAAATTAGGATTAGTATGTGAATTGAGGATAATGCATTGATTGTTGTTCTATTCAGGGTTTTGTGCGTCAAAACTACCAGATACTGGGGAGCCAATTGCGTCAAAGCTACAAACTACTGGGGAGCCAATTATCAAAGTTACAAACTATAGGGTGTCAATTATTAAAACTACAAACTATAGGGTGTCAATTATCCAAAGCTCAAAAGGGATGGGGATCAAAGTGTAATTCAAGCTCTCCCTTTTTGCCTATAAATAACACTCCTTGGGTCATGTAAAGATCATATGTTTTCTCTTGTATCATCTTTCTTGTAAAGAGCATCTTTTGGTAGTAGAAAACCCTCTAAAAGTCATTATTACTTTCTTGTATCATCTTTCCTGTAAAGAGCATTCTTTGGTAGTGAAAAACCCTCCAAAAGTCATTATTGCTTTCTTGTATCATTGCTTTTTTAAAAAGAGCACCTTTTGGTAGTGAAAAACCCTCAAAAAGTCATTATTGCTTTATTTTTATTGTTTTCTTTTCTTGTATTATTACTTTCTTTTAATTTATTATTTTCTTTTATTGTATTATTGATTTCTTTTATTTTCATTGTTTTGAGCTTCCTTCTTCCCTTAGAGGAGTGAAACTCTTCCATTTTTCTAGAGCTTTACCAAAGCCGTGCAGGGTCGAATGTGATTCACTCATTCTATGTCGAAGATTGGCTCCGTGTGCAATATGTTTTACCTTGCAACTCCTCTATTTGGAGGGATGAGCATCACTCACTTTTCTAGCTTTACCAAAGCCATGAAGAGTGAGTAGTTTCTCATCCAATCTTTAGTAAGAGGTGATGGACATGTATAATTATCCAGAAGTTATATTTGTACATTTCGTTTATGCTTAGCTCTAATCTTCATTTTTTCATAATATCTTCTCATTATGTTATTGTCTTTACCTTAAGCATGAGTAGCTAAGTCTTTATGTTGACTAATCCAAGGGAGACCTCCTCTTGAGTATGCCATTTCAACTCATCTTCTTTCCTCCCCTCGGTGTACGATGATTTGGTTTAACTGGGTTGAGTGGGGACATGGTGTGAGTCTTTGATATCCCGTAGACTTGTCATGGGTTATGCTTGGATCCAGACTTCCATCTCGTCTCCCACTTCCCACGAATCAATCATTCGTCTATGCACCATTGGAGGAGGTTTTGAGTTGACTTGACATTTCCATTGGAGTAAACCCTTCAAATTAGCCAACACTTGTTTCCCATTTCAATTTCATCACAACACAAATCACAAACTAACTTCAAACATCAAAAGATTTTACACATTTCTTTCACCAAAAGTACCTTCTACCTGATTCACCTCATTCCTTGAGGAGACGACTTTGGAATAAGGTTCCAAGTAAAACACGACACACAAAAGTCTTCTTGCACTTGGGAAGCATTTTTGTTCACACACACACACACACATTTCATTCCACCATTCCGTTGCCCTTTATTTTGACATCATTCCACGGGAGAGTGACTTTTACCTCCACACATAGACTATATGCATTGAGGGATGATGTTTAGAGGTTAGGATATACTACAACAGAAACGACCAAACAACTATAAGCTAGATATAGTATCTTCTTCCAACTTCAAGAAGTGCATGTTGTCAACTCATGTTGCCTTACCCATAAGACAAGGATCTACAAAATTACCTAAGGATAGAGGTGAAAAGAGGTATCCATCCGAAGGAGGAACATGAAGTAAATTAGTAAAGCCAACTACAGATATGAAGGGGAAAATACAGAGTAAAGACTTTGGTTAAGACCAAAGGAGAAAAAAAGTTGGAAACTAACAAAGTCATTTTCTAGTTTTCTTGCTTCTAGGTTAGGAGGTTCAGAAATAATAGTAGTGTTGCATAAAGAAGAAGGTAGTCTTGAAGGGTTTGGCTTGTTCAAAAAAGGCCAAGTGCTTCGTGAGTATTTATAGGTCATAGAAAAGGCTAAGTGCTTCATTATTAAAGAAGACTGTTAAGCTTTGACATGTCGGCCAAATAAGCTTCTAGCCCTTCTTCAGGAAGCCAGGACATTGTACCAAAAATGTGAAGACTATTAGGTTGTTGTTCGAGATCAAAGGGAATGATTGGTTACCTTGTAGCAACATATCAAAACTTGCTGAGCAAAAACAAGTGGGCAAGGGTGACTGTAGGAAGGCTGGGGATGTTGGCCCAAGTTTGAATGAACCTAGGAAGAAAAAGAAGAATGATCATTCGGGGGTGATTGGGGTTATAAATGTGACTTTCTAGCACAAAGTTGATAGGAATAATTTGGGGCCTAGGGATGTGGTGGTGAGAACCATTGAAAATCACGGTCTACATTTTTGGTTTGAGGAGGTGAAGGGGTATGTGCTTCCCTTGTGTCGGGATTTATATCAGGCATTGATGATTGTGGATGAAAATCTAGAAGTGTTGAGAACCATGGTGAGGGGAAAGGCCATTGATGTTACCTCGGAATCAATAGTTGTGATGCTGAAGTACTAGAGGCCTAAAAGAGGACAAAATGGATTACCCCCACCCAACTGAGCAAAGGAAGAAGCTTCATGAGTATGCGCAATTGATGTATACAGACACTACAAGGTTTAAAGGAAAAATCCAAACTAGTGTGCTCAAGCACAATTATGGGGTCATGTATAAAATCCTCCACTATAATGTTTACTAAGGGGGGGGGGGGCAGAAAAGAAACTAGGGGTAAAGAAGATGGCTCTACTATACAAGTTCATGGCGGGGTCCTGGATGGACATTGCGATGATGATCTGGGAGGTTATGAGAGATTATGCCAAGGCCGAAAAGCCTAGGGCAAACATGCCTTATACCCATTTAGTCTCACATATCTACTTAAGGGCCTAGGTGAAAGTACCCTCGAGCAATGTGATGTCCCAACCTGAGTATGGCCCAGTTGATAAATAAAGCAACATGAAAAGGAAGGCTATGACTAGGGTGATAAGGTATCCGAAGGAGAGGATAGAGCCACCTACATCCACATCCGCTCCAGTGATGATTTTTCCTCAGTGACTGACTAGGATTAAGGGTAAGCTAGAGGACATAGGGAAGGTCATGGTTGAAGACCAAGGGACTTTGGAGCTATTGAGGTTGATGATGAAGAGAGTCTATGAGTAGGTATTCCCAAGAGAGCCTCTACCTGTGGTACCTCCACCTCCAGCGCCATCAGTTATTCCTGTTGAGGTTCCACCAACCGCCACACTTGATATTCCACCACTTACTCTAGGGGCTAGCACTTCTGCACAGCCTACTACTGCCCCTCGTTCGTCTATTGTGCTAGACCTTGAGGAATATAGTGATTAAAAAGAGGGTGATGATGAGGAGGAAGTGGGTGATGATGAGGGTGATGGTGATGAGGAAGATGAGTAGGTGGAGGAGAAAAGTGAGGGCAACCACGATCGATGAAGGAGTCACTAGTGATTGTCATTTCTTTTGTTTTGCAACTTTTTATGAACTTTAAGTTAGTAGAAGCAAGTTTAGGTTGATAGGCCTAGGTAGAAGAATCCTTAGGAGAATAGGCCATTTTGTGTTCTTCTTTGTAATGAAAGATAGTGTTTGGGATGAAAGAACAATTTTTTTTTGTGTTTAACTTTGCCCTAAATGCATTGGTTCAATAGCAATTCGATTTAATTGTTTCGAATTAGTTTATTTAATGATCGACATGTATGAAAGTTTTATTGTTAGTTTGTATCTATCTTTTCGAATAAGATTTGCTAGGGACTAGCAAAACTCAAGTTGGGGGGGGGTGTGATGAGTGTGTAATATTTCATATTTAACGACCTTATTATTGATTTATTTGAATTTAGTTTAATTTGGAGATTAATGGAGAAATGTGTGATTGTAGGTGCTCGGGGTGTAAATACGGGGTTTTATCACTATACAATATTTTTTGGTCAAAGGGTGATAAAAGTAATACAAGAGATGAGGCCTCAGGAGTGTAGAAGTGCAAAAGCACTTTTGAGAAGGAGGAGAGCATTATGCAAAAAATTATGCAAGAAACACAGGATCACATTCTAGTTTTTAGAGAGAGAAGGTCCAAGGAAGATCTGTTGTTTTAGAGAGAGAAAGTTGGGTTTTTGTAATTTCTTGCTCATTTTCATTCTATTAAGTTTCTAAAGCTTGTAATCTTCATTTCTAAACTTGGTACAACTTCCATTTTCAATTATGAATGCATTTTGTTTTAGTTTCACCGGGACATCTAGTTATGGGAAACTCCATTTTCAAGTATTTGAACATTTGTGCTTTAGCTTCTATGTTTTTAATATTTGATCAAAGCTTTATGTTTGTTTACCCTTTTCTTTAGCTAGTTTAAGTTGGTATTTGTTTCCTTTGCGATGATTTCCCTTTTTCTTATCATTTTCGTTTCATTTATGGCCAGCTAAACCATTTGTTGGCGAAATCCAAGGAAGGATTTCCATTTGGGTATGGAAAAATTAATCCTCACACACACTCCCTTGTAGTGTAATGTGTTGAATTTGACTAGGTAGATTACAATGTATAGGTTTGTATACGTTTGATGCAACATAAACTTGTCACAGGGCATGCTTATCGTCCCTTCAAACATATACGAATCAATTTTCTTTCAAATCAATTTAGCACCAATACACACATTTGGTAATTCTTGATTTGTAACTCCTATCTTCCGATTGAATAAACAAACTTTTGAGTTCAATTAAGTTATAATTAGGATTGATTAACCACACCCGGTGGAATGAATTCCAAGGATTAACCAAACTTTTTTTATTTATAGACTTTCAAACCCCAAATCTCACGATTAACTAACACTTTCGAAGAACCAATTTTTTCTCTTATTTTTAAAATCATTTTCGAAACACTTAGGCTTGACCTTCCCTAAGGAGACGACCTAGAAACTTTTTTCAAGTTAATACACGACACATAAGACGCCCTGCGCTTGGGGAGCAACTTTTGCACTATCATAATTTTGAGGGTAAACACTTTTGACACCCGTATACATTCCAACACACTCCGCACAAACAAGAAAGAGAAATAAAACCCAAGCATATATAAATATGAAGTATTTGAGTCAGAGTTGTAGATTTGAGAGAATAGTCTGTTAGCCATTTGTTTAGTGTTGGTATATTATTTATGTGCTAATGCGCTTGGTTGTTTCTTGCGTTATGATTCTATTATAATTATGCACATATTAACGAGTTTTTAGTTATAGAGTGAGATTGTTTGAGACAATACATGTCCGTCTTAATGTGGTTTGTGATGTGGCCCTACGAGAAAGGATTGAGATTGTTTGTGTTTTTGGTGGGTGGACAAGGTAGCTCTGTTGTGTAGATTCCGGAGAAGTAACCAACATACATGAGATATTTGAGAAAATGTTTACTGAAGTATTCTTTATTTACTCTGATTCATAAATATTTATTTTGTATTGAATTACTATATTCCATAAACATAAAATTGTTATAACTCACATTGTTTTACTTCTAAAATTTATATATGCTATTTTTCAAAAGAGACTTCTCTATTCTATATTTTGAAAATCTTGTTTGGATTTGAGAGAAATTTCATATGGTATTTTGCTCACCCCCTACAACAACATTTACAGATTTTTCGTATAGAAGAGGATACCGAATTGGATGAGCAGATGGATTTTGAGACCGGGGTTGATCAAGATGGTGATCCTAGTGGCGAGACTTAGAGCTATTTCTACAGTTGATTAATTTTGAATTAATTATTTGGTGATGTCATAAACATTCGATAATTAGTTGTTTATTTGGAGAAATGGTATTATTTAAATGTTTTGAATGTAAAATTGGAGAAATTTACTTTAGTTAGTTTTGGCGGTTTTATTTATCTGTGATGAATGGTGAATGATTTTGATATATGTTTGGATGTTTTTTAGTTGTTCTCATGGTTATTGTTTTGTAGATAATTAATGGCCAGATTGTTGAATTTGGTATGTTACATTGTAGTACCAAAGCTTAGACTTTAGGTCTTACATGAGAGTTGTAGGTTGTAAACTATCACTGGAGTATTAAGTTAGGTTGAAGGAACGTTAGGCTTGAATTTGTTGGAAGTTAAATGTTTATAAGATAAGTGTGAGTTGTTGCGTTGTTAGGTTATGGATTGTTGACATACTCAAATTCTTGTAGTTTAGCTAGCTTAGAAGAATTGATTTAATTTGTAGGATAAGTATCCTAGTTGTGCACCATACCATTATGGTTAGTTTAGAAAATGGATGGTGTTTCATTTTTGGTTAGTAAGGGACGTTATGCATGAATCTTGAAGGCATTGGGTTTTGGTTATAAGACACAGGTTTTGGGTTGTCATTGAGAGTATTGGTGTAGTTTGAATAAAGGGTATGAGACATGATTAGTGACAAAAGACACCCGAACTCGAATTTGACAATTATAGCAGAACCATTAGTCAAGCAAACAACTTTTCACTAATTGGAAAGCAAGCTTCTACCATTATTTAGGCTTTGATTTAGAGACACCCTCATGTTGATTGAAGTGTTTTGATTGATAATAAGATAGAATCTGATTATGGTTTGGTTTCTTATCGAATCTAAGTATTCTATTATACTATTGGTATTGCTTATATTTTTGGAAGTCAAGAAGATGTGATAACCCAATCTAGATGTGTGCAGACAAGGTCAACTTAGATGTTTGTAAGATAGACTAAGTTTTGAATAATAAGTTTATGAAAAGTTTTGTATGTTAATCAAAAGTCATAGAAATTGAGGAACGAATGTAGTTTTGTCTTACGATGGTAACCATGGCAGTGTTATGTTTTCCTCTATGGTGAGAACGATTGTATGAGATAGTACTATTCTCAAATATGATCAATTGAAGGGATATGGTGAAGTAACCTCGAATGGGAGCCTAATTTGGAATAATGATAAGAATTCTGGTAAGATTTTTAAATGGACAAGAGATTGTTTCATAACCACGAACTTGATGTTACCAATATTGGTTTGAAAATACTACGAAGAGTTGATTAAATATATTTTTAAACTATTAATGAATTAGAATGGTCATACGTAGGATACTCATTGAGGATGTTATACTTTGGTAATCTTATTTCATTGTGGGCCTAGTTCACTGCACTTCGACTCTCTAAAGTACTAATAATCAAAAATCTCTTGGTTGAGTATGAAGTTAGTAGTTTACTTTTATTTAAAAATTTTGATTGAAAATTGAGGTTGAATTATGGAAACAAGCTTATAGACATGTAAAAAGAAAATCCATAAAGCCTAATTAAGTTGTAGTAGTTTCTTTTGACCCTCGATAATGTATGATTACAAATTATAGAGGTTTAAAAGCTTAAGGTCAGATATAAATGCCATCTTTTTCACGACCTTTCAGTTGTTTCTTCTTGCTCCTTTCCCTCCAAAGTGAGTCTATAATAAGCCTTGCACCTATGGCATAGGCATTTCTTGATCATATTGAGTTGCTTTTTGACCGCAGTTGAATAACTGAATTTCTTCTATGGATCTTCTTCGAAAGAATCGTCTTTAAGGGAAGTGCCCTTTTCCTCACTGGGCTTCTCTGCATCACCCGCATTGCCACGCTTAAGTCTACCGTCTTTCGTGTGGTTTTGGATTGTCCAACCTCCACCATGTTAATGGTGGCAGACTTCTAGAAAGGGTCCTTATCGACTCCCATCTATAGCTTTCCTTTGTCTCTGAAGATCAAATGGCCTTTGGTCAAGCCGTCCTAAATGGCGTTATGAAAAAGCACACAATTATTAGTAGGGCTCCATAGATTGTGTCGTGTGCAATTTATCTTACTCTTCAGCTTTGTGGTAGAGAATATTGTGCCCAAATGACTATTTGATAATATCATCTATAAGCAGATGTTCAAAGATCTGGTCAGCCTTCAAAAAAATGAAGTCATACTTCTGGTTATTGCCATCATTGGCTCCTTTGTCGGCGCTTAATGAAACTTGCGCTTGATCCTCTGAGACTCTGTCTAAGGCCTTGCACACATATGCTATCTGGCCACTATCTTTGTCATGTTTACCTCAAGCTCTTGGTTTAGCTCGACCATGAGGATTTTCATATGTGGTCTCAGTAGTACGTACCCTTGGACGTGTTTCTTCACTCCAATTCCTCTCACAGAATCTACTTATATTGTATAGTCCACGTTGCCAACTCGAACAAGTCGTTGAACTTAATTCCTTCAAATTTCTTTCATGGTTTGAAACCTAGACCGTTCTGCACAATGCACACGTATTCCATCTTAGGCAAGGCCAACCTACACTTATTCCTGGCCTTTTTGAAACGTGCTATGTATTGCTCTATGGTTTCTCCTGTCATCTGGTACAATCTA